ATATGTTAAATAAAATCCAACCTTCCAGAGATAACATACTGCTTAAAGGTCTGCCTGGCTGCTTAAAGGTCGGCCTGATGATGGAAGGACAAGAGGGAGAGAGCCAAGCTAGGTTCTTGAAGCAATGCATTCCATAGCCTGGAAGCATTTGTTAAGAATCATAATGTATGGACTCTGGATACATTAGGCTGGAATGTCAAAGACACAGGGCAAGTCTATCCCAATCTGTATGCCTGTTATTTGGATACAGAGCAAGTCAAGGGTGTTCTGTACATATCTAAGAGATGTAAATATATGTCTTATTCAGTCACTACTTAAACAATGTTCTAGGATTCTTGCTCACATGTGAGAAAGAGCCTCTTCTTTGTAGAAACATTGCCCTATATATGAAGAACATGCTTTTGAAGAGGGGAGATCCTACATGCTTCTCTCTATGCATATTACAGAGAACTCGGTCAATAATGATTATTTAAGGCTAATAGATATAGATTCTGCCTGTAACATGAATCTTATGCCATCAATTTAAGATTTTTCTGGATCTACAACAACCTGATTGAGAATTTTTCTTTTTAAAAACAATTTCTTCTGGTATGATTGTTAAAAAAAAATCAAATATCGTGACCTAAATCCAATTGATAGTTCCAAAAATAGATTCATTGAATCAATGGGATTTATTTAAATATTAATTTACCATTCAGCTGCTGAGATCCTGTTACTTAGTTACACATGTGGAAGACAAACAGCATAACAGTCAGTCACTACTAGCTGGGAGTTAACAAGTCACCACTGGGATTTTGAAAAGCACACACATGCTGGTTTAACATCTGCTCAAGAATCCCTGGAGGGATTCCTTAACTACCATCTAGAAGGCACTGGAAGTTACGTCATTTGCCTTCTATATGTGAACTAAACAACAGAATTTCAGCCTCTAATTGATTCAGTGGGTCTGCTGTAGCTGAGATTGCTAACTGGATGTAGGCCTTAAGAACAAATTCCAGTTACAGTTGCATTTGTAAAGAAGACATTTCCTTTCACACTTGTTCAGAAAATGAACCTCCTTTCTTTTTCTTGCAGGTGGGCCATTAAACATGAAGGAATAAGTAAACCTGGTCAATGGAAACAATCAAAAGTGGACAATCCTTTGTGGAATAAATTGACTTATATGTGGCCTGTGCTTCCAAATGGAGAACTGAACCAGGTAATTTGATGTGTGAAAAGTAATAAGTAATAAAATACAAAGATGCAGATGCTTGCAAACCTGCACATAAATTATGTGCGTAATGGTGCACAGTAACATAATCTACTCAAATATGTTTAAGATATGTATATACACACATACATAAAATATAGTCATGTTAAAAAGAAAGTACACCTTCTTTGAATTCTATGGTTTCATGTATCAGGATGTAGTAAAAATCATCTGGTCCTTAGCAGGTCTGAAAATTAGTTAAATACAGCCACAGATAAACAACAACACATGACATATTACACTACACCATGATTTATTTTACAAAAATAAAGCCAACATACTGTCTTTCCAATATCAGATATTTGTCTGTTTATTCTTTTGTATAGAAACAGCTCTATTTGCCCTTGGTAAAATTTAGAGGACATTTCTCTTTCAGGATAGCATATATCCCATTGGAAGATAGCCACACAAACGACACCTTGATGCAGTTGGTGACATTGTTGGGAGTTGTAATATGTTTCTGCAGCAGCATTGTTGGTGACTTGTAATTGCGCTGCTAGAATATGTATGAGTATAGAGTAGAATCGAGGTTTGTATCAGACCATCTAAATTTGCTTCTATCTCAGTATAGTCAAGGTTCCTGCTAAGCTGGGAGCACATGCATGTCTCTGCCTCCCTGCGTACAGCTGTCTTCCTCCTTCATGCAGCGATCGCATTGACAGAACCCAGTGTATGGGGGGGAAAGTCACGCATGCATGCAGGGGCAAAGTTGCCAGTGTGAGAGGCGGAGCTCTGCCCAGCGGGGCTGAAAATTAGAGCATACGTTGGTATCAGTGCATTATGGCCTGTTCTGTGGTAATAATTGACTTAAGATGCAGGGGGGAAACCTTTTGTAAGCAAGCACAGACTCAACACACATGAGAGTAAACTACAGAGTTTAGATGGCATGTTCATACCTTCTGCAAAAAAAGGATGCTAGCTTCTAATGAGACCAATATTGTTGACACTGACTGGAAATGGCTTTCTCGTTTTATAGTTTTGTGTATTAGCCAAAAGGGTGTTCTCCTCAACAGACCTTAAACTTCAGCACTACACTTTCAGGAAAGGAGAATATCAGACAAGAAACATAACCACAAGCAAAAGCAAAGCATGAGAAAAAATATTATGGGAGTGTAAAGACTAAGTTATATGTTTTAATGTGAACTCTTGTGGGTCAAATTCACTTCCTGAGACATTAGACTATATGACATAGTTATACGACTGTCCAGATGAGGATGCAGATAATGGACAAAGTATCAGTAGTTCATTAGTAAAGGAATAGAACTATCAGACTGTGAATATTTTAGTTATGAGTCTACAGGGTAACAGTAGCATTGTTGACAAGAGGCAAATTATGGAAATCAATGGTGAATTTCACATTTGGTAAAGACGTAGGAAGTCTTGATTGATATTCAGTCATTTTGAGTGTGTCTCCAGCGTACGTTGTGCCTCATCTCAGCTGTTTCTCTTTCAAATCTAGTTCTGTAGTGTTTTTTTAAAACTTAAAACGGTCACTTTCAAGTCATTTAAAGAGTTTTCAGGTGGATTGTAATACAGTGGCGCCTCGACTTACGAACGTCCCTGCTTACGAAAAGTTTGACTTACGAAAAGCTCCAGCTGCAATATTTTGCTTCGACTTGTGTTCGGAGCTTCCACTTACGAATGGGAAAAGGGCGGGAAATTCAAACTGTTGGTGGCAAAGAGGCTGCTGCTTTGGAGCTCTTTCACCCAAATGGCTAGGAAAAGGGAGGCTCAGCCTCCTGGGCTTCCACAACTGCTGCCACTGTCCCCAGGAGTTGAGCTGCTGGACCATCCCAGCTGCGCTCAGCCCCCCAGCCTTATTTTATTTTTTTTATTTACAATATTTTTCAGCCGCACCATTGCCAGTGGCTTCTGGGCGGCGTACAACATCAAAACCTAAAAACATTAAAAACATTTTAAGAAACAGTATAAAATACCATATATTAAAATATTTCTTAAAACAATTAAAACATTAAAAGTAATTAATTAAAATGCTGGGTGAACAGAAAGGTCTTTGCCTGGCGCCGAAAGGCCAAGAGTGTCGGAGCCAGGCGGATCTCTCTAGGGAGGGTGTTCCAAAGTTGGGGGGCAACAACCGAGAAGGCCCTATTCCGACATGCCATCCCCTTCACCTCTTTCAGGTGGGGTTCTCTGCTGCCACAACCACTGCCACCGGAGGCTTCCCGGGCTTCCCCGCCACCATGGCCGCCAACGCTAGAGGCTTCCAGACCTTCCCTACTGCCACCGCAGGCTTCCCGGGCTTCCCCACTGCTGTGATCGCCACCGCCGGAAGCCTCCAGACCTCCTCCGCCTCCGCCGCAGGCTCCCCAGGCTTACCAACGGCAGTTTCAGTGGCGGAGAAAGGCCGGGTTTGCCACCGCCGGAAGCCTCCAGACCTCCTCTGCCTCTGCCGCAGGCTCCCCAGGCTTACCAATGGCAGTTTCAGTGGCGGAGAAAGGCCGGGTGGGCTCCCGATGGCAGTTGCGGCGATGGAGAAGCCGTGCAGCAGCAAAGGAAGGCTGGGAGAGCTCCTGGAGGGCTCCCACTAACTGCGGTTTCGGTGGCGGTGGAACCTATGCAGCTGACATAGCCTGTTGTATGTTGATAGTTGTTCAAGATTGGGCAATTGTTTGTAAGCAAGCACAGGCCTGCCATCAAAGGCTTGGCAGAGTGAAACATTCTCGTCAAGAGCTTGGGATAGTGAAGCATACCTAGCAGACACAAGGGAGAGGACTTTCTCTTGTGTGTTCGCAGACTGTTAAACAAACTCCCTTCAAAGTTGCAATCACTTTTTACCCTCACTGCTTTTAAGAACGGCCTAAACATATTGTTTTGCTGGCATACAAAAAAGGAAGCTGTCACAGTGCTTCCTGGGAACCATAGTCTTATTGCCCATTAAGCTGTATAAATGGCACCTCTCAAAGAACTACAACTCCCAAGAAACACTATGGAACAAGTAAAGTAGTTCCATGACAGGCTTCATAATATAGACTACATTTCCCATGCAGCATTGCAGCAACTCATAGGCAGCCTTGCTATACTGCCTGTGAGCAACAGGATTCTCTCTTACTTCATACCTAAAGCACATGGAATGGAGTGAAATGGTGGTGGGAAAAACTCTCTTTTTATTGTTGTTTGTGCTGTCCCATTCCCAGAGTTCTGCCTGGGGGATTCCAGGTAAATTCTGGAGGTGGGAGTCCTTCAAATACGAAAATCCCATCCCTAACTCACAGGCTATGTGATGTTATCTCTCAGTGTGTCCTGCTCTAGTAACAGAGGGAAAAACTGTGGAGAAATGCAGGCAATGTAACATCAGCTCTTAGGGTCTGACCACACCTGCCAAAAGAAGCCCAGTTTTATTGATTCTTTCCATACCTTTGTTTTGCTGATACATATATTTCATGGTCATGTGGCATATATACTAGTGGGAACATTCCCATTGGTTTTAACATATACCAATTGATTTATTCCTATTTGAAATGTTATTGCTGGCTACACCGTGTAATTGATTTATTTTCTCTCATGTTTCCCAGGGCACTGCTGCCCTTTCCTTTTATTTTTTTATTTTTCAAAAAATTCGTAAGTGATACATTGATATGGTGGGAAGAGATTCCTGCCCTGAATCGTCTGATTTGTGGTGCCTGCAAATCTGGAAGCAATGCATGCCCATCATGACACAGCTGTGCCACTTGGCAGACTATAGACTATAAGCAATACACAAGAAAAGTACTGTATTGTATCCTTGTGCTGAATGGACTCGACTGAGGGGACTGTTGAAAATGCCATTCAACTTGCTTATATAATTTTAATATCATTTTGCTGTTTCTTTAATTTGTAATTTGATGCCAAATCAATGGACCAGCATGCAAGCAAAGCTTCTCTGTTGAACTGCGGGGGGCGGGGGGCGGTCTGGGACAAAGGTAAGAGAGAGGAGACATACTGTATATAAACTGGGAGAAAGAAAGAATATATTGTAGCAAATCCTTTATAATAGATGATAAGCAAAACTTTTAGCATACAAAGGGCTGTTTACAACTGATACTATTAATATGTCTTTTAAATAGTCTGTGTAGCTTTTATAAGTATATGACACTATCACAAAGGCATTTGTTAGTGTGAAATAATCAGCAGAGATTCTAATAATAAGGTTTGGTTAATGTTGAAATGCCAAGAGTAGCTGTTGTCAACAACATTTGTAGATTTGATAGACAGCATATGTTTAGCTATGTTCTTCAAGACATTGTTATCTTTGTTCCCTTAAAGCTGAAGAGATAGAATACAGTTGCTTCATAAGTTGCTCTTAAATACTCATGTGAGTTGTCATGAGACTTTTAACACCTGAAGGCATATCTCTTGAGCAGAGGGCAATGTACAGAAAAGTCAAAGAGTGTGTTTTTTTCAGTTTTAGAAAGGGAGGGATATTTAATGTTAAGCATTAATCTTTGCTGTTTCAATTATGTGTGCAGAAAAGTTGATCTAATGTATTTTCTGGTACTGATGTTCTTACTAGCTTAAATAACCTTGTCTGCCCAGCCAGAATAATGAGATGAGACACAATATATATGGGTTAAACTTGGGCCACAACTTTATTAGCTCATTAACACTTGCATTAACACTTTTACAAGGGGGTCTGCCGTAGTGCAAAACGGGTCTGAAACCATAATCAGTCTTACTTGACCATTCCAGACCTCTCCCCAGCAAAATCCTGTGCTGAAAGGGCACTGTTCTACAACACAGCACCCTCTCGGCCATCTGCGCTGCAGTCAGTCTTCAAGCCAAGGCTCGAGACCCTGAGTGAAATGTGTCCCTGGGCTCCCTCGTTTTCCTCTCCCCTCAGCCAAAACTCTTTTACTGCAATTTTGAGAGGAGTGACTTACACCCGCTGAGTGTCTCCCCTGGAAATCCCATGATCCTATCCTGCTTTGCACTACCCACTGCTTTGACCTTATTATCAATGATCATCTACTTTTATGACCCAAAACACCCTTGTAAGTAAGAATGGGATGGGCAAAAAAACACCTGCACCCTAAAGGCCAATATGGGTGCATGTCAAAAATTCCCATCCAGCCCTGAAGCGACCAGCTACTCTTATTCTTACCACATGGCTGGGTGGGTGCATTGTGAGGAGAAGAACATATAGTTATATATATTATTACAGCAGCCAGAATTATGTATGCTAGAAACTGGAAAAGTCCGGCGGTACCGGAAGAAGATCTTATTGACTTTGTCACCCTTTATGTTAAAAATAATTTAATATTAAAAAAAAATTAAAAAGGAGAAGAAGCAGGGAAGAGGATGACTCAGGCATGAGCAGCCTTCTTAAAGGCTTGCCTTTAGATCTGCCTGCCCATCTTCCATGTGGTTCCCTGCCCTCGTCCTTGCTGGATGGGCGGACAAAGAAGCTCCACCCTGGCAGGTCCATGCTGGTCTGGAGGGGCCATCTCCATCTTCCCTCCCAGCCCACAATGTGGGCATCGACCCACCTTAAAGAACGTCTGTGGGGATAACAGGGAGGGAGTGGGAGAGAGAGACCTTAAACTCTCTATATTAATTGTACTCATGCACCTTTGTGAGCCAGATATAAGAAATCTGGAAGTGTTAAAACACTCTTGTACCAGCAAGCATGAGATTTGACCATACACAGACTCAAGAGAGAACAAGCGCTATTTCTTTCGAGTGGCCACTCGGGTCCCCCAGACACGAGGGACCTTTACCCAAAAGTACAAAGAGCTTTTATGCCTTCTAACCACACGGAAATAAATGTACAGAAAAATCCTCATTGGCTGACAAGTAGGTTAAGGGAGTTATTCAGTATGCATTCTATAGGGTAGAACAGCAAAGGGCATATGTTTTCTAAGTATGCAGTCACCCCCCTCCCCTTGGGTACTCTAATGATCTTCAACAGGAAACTGAACAAACAGGATATCTGTGGTCGGCTGATTTAAACCACAGGCTCAGCCAGTTGGGGCTGCAAACCGTTGCACCAGGCTTGCACATAGAAAGGACCTGACAATCTGCAAGGAACAGGTGTCTAGCTGACACAAATAAGCAAATTCATATATGTGTTATTTTTAGAAGAATTAGGGTCTGGGGTCTTTGTGAAGCGTCCTACAATCAATACTATCAGCTCACAGCGGTTTAACCCACAGGGCCACCACGCCCCTCTCAAAGCAGTGGTTAGACTACCTTAAACTTCCTTCCCACCCCCACCCCATGCTAGGTAGGAAATGTACTCATGTTTATTGTGAATAATGTTTGATTTATTTACTGAAAGGCTTTTGACTGGCCTATTGAAGGACTACTGATTCCAAACAGCCCTCCTTTAAAGATACCTGTTGGCAAGAATTCAGACAGCTACATACCTTTGAAACTAAGAGTTTTGAGAAATGGAGACCCAGAAAAAAACAAGGCCATCTCTGTCCTTGGACCTGATTTCACAACTGCAGTGAAGAAACAGTAAGAATAAATAATAAATAATAAATAAAATATGACCCTATATTTTCATGATGAAATAAAAGTGTTAATGTTCTGGGAAATAGCCATGTTAACATGAGAGTATCTTCATTTGCACATATGTTGCTGATTTTAACTTTTTATATGATGAGCTCTGTTGCAGTCTGCAAATGTAACTGCTTTACATTGCACTCAGCCAGTTGGGGCTGCAAACCGTTGCACCAGGCTTGCACATAGAAAGGACCTGACAATCTGCAAGGAACAGGTGTCTAGCTGACACAAATAAGCAAATTCATATATGTGTTATTTTTTAGAAGAATCAGGGTCTGGGGTCTTTGTGAAGCATCCTACAATCAATACTATCAGCCCACACCTTAGAGAACTTCTGTGGGGATAACAGGGTAGAGGGAGGGAGTGGGAGAGAGAGAAAGAGAGGGAGAGAGACCTTAAACTCTCTATATTAATTGTACTCATGTTTATTGTGAATAATGTTTGATTTATTTACTGAAAGGCTTTTGACTGGCCTATTGAAGGACTACTGATTCCAAACAGCCCTCCTTTAAAGATACCTGTTGGCAAGAATTCAGACAGCTACATACCTTTGAAACTAAGAGTTTTGAGAAATGGAGACCCAGAAAAAAACAAGGCCATCTCTGTCCTTGGACCTGATTTCACAACTGCAATGAAGAAACAGTAAGAATAAATAAAATATGACCCTATATTTTCATGATGAAATAAAAGTGTTAATGTTCTGGGAAATAGCCATGTTAACATGAGAGTATCTTCATTTGCACATATGTTGCTGATTTTAACTTTTTATATGATGAGCTCTGTTGCAGTCTGCAAATGTAACTGCTTTACATTGCAGTGACAAAGAAAGTACATTCAGAAATCTGATCAGGACATCTCATTGAGCTGAACATCTTTAGTCTTCCCTGCAGATTTTAGTTTAGGTGACTTCTGGCTAGAATGGTGTCATGCCGATGTTACATCCATACCTGTGTCCTTATCATCTATTTAACATTCTACACCTGTAGGTATAATGCCTGAATAGGGTTTGAGATCAACTAGTGTTTCCACATGGAGGTGGAAAGCGCATGTCTTTTTGAATGGTTGCACTTAAACAGGTTATGGCAGCCATGTAACCCACAACTAGCAGTTTGTTATTACCTGTCATGGGTATGCATATTGATTCCAACCACATATATCTTTTAAGATGCTACTGTAGTCCCTTGACTATTGTTTATTGGAAAGAAATGTGCCATCAGTAGTCTTAATCAAGAAAGGTAGATCTTTGTGTAGAATCAGAATCTTATACTGTACTTATGGTCTTGCTGGATATGCTTCCACAACAACAGCAGGTTGCATTAAGCATATGTCAAATTGAAATAGATTTGTAGCCATGTGTGTGGTGCCCAAGAGACAGGAATTATATGTATGTTCCTGCATTCATGATCTAGCTAATGAGGTCCCCATGATCTAAATGAGGATATGCCTCTCTATATATCTTACAATGCAAATAGGTAATATGGCCACAATACTGGCCACTGTGTGGGGTTGCTACATAGCATATTACTTGTTGCGCATATGACCTTGTTGTATGCAGCTATGGTGACAACCCTGAATAATACAGTACATCTCTCCTGTTACCTAGAAGAAAAAGTGGCCATAGGAATTTAATCTCACATATGCCTATAGAATTGGGATTAAAATCTAAAAATGAAGGGATGAAAGGATCCTTTTTCACATGATTAGGGTTTGTTCATATGTTTTATAATTTTGATGATGATTTCTCACCCTCATGCACATAAATGGGAGAAGGGAGAGTCTATAATAACACAGAATTTCTGTAGTAATTTATCTCATGCAGAGTATCTATAGGCTCTTGTTTTCAGTTTTACACAAAAACCTTAGGAACAAAAAGAAGAACCAATACCTGATTAATGGTTTTGTGCTGCCCAAAAATGTAAGATCTGAACCAGCAGCTGATCAATTTCCTGAAAAAGAAGGCATTCCATATTTTGAGATATCATTATTGTCATTATTATCAGAGCAAAATGGCAGTACCATTTTCTATGCTGAATATATTTAAAATGGAAGTCAGAAACTCAGGAGAGCTTATGGTGTGTGAATGGCCTTTACAGAAATAATTCTGCCCCCACTGATTGTATGGTCTGTGAGAATTGTTAGGATTATATAGCTTGCCTTTCTGCACAACATTGCCCCAGGGTTTAACTGAAGTGCCTTCCATATGATAATTTATAGTTTGATAGAGACTATCTGTATATATAAATTATAATGGTTTTGATACACTCCTCGAAAACATTGAATATGCTTGGAAAGAGCAGATTTTATACGTTCATTTTTATGTAACAGTACTTTGAATATTCATTTAGCAGTGAAAAGCTTTGATGTAAAGAATAAGTTAAATATGTCGTTTCTCACATTGTTAGCAGAGATGTCACCTTTTGACCTTTTCTTTAAGGTTTTTAGAACATCTGATGCTTTTTGATAATGGTTTAATATTACTTCTTCAGATTGATTAAATACACTTCATACATCACTGAACAATGAATAGCATTCAGATAGTCTGTCTACTGAGTTGCCTGCAAAAATGATAAAGTTAAAAAAATAATCTTCAAAGTAAAGTCAAGCCTGAAATTGAAATCTTTGACGCATACATCTCATAATTAGTTCTTTCTCGGCCAGATCTAAAATGTGAATATGCTATTCTTAAAATTATTCAGATCTTTTACTGAATAGAAATTTAATGAATGGCACCAGCTTTTTAAAAAGTTTTCTCTAGATCTGAAGTAATATCTAAAAGTTTCTCAAACTAGCTTTTATGAAATTGTCAAATTTCCATTATAGATCATGCTAAGACCATTTCCCCACTCCTATGATCCTCCTGGCAGATGATTCCTGAAGCTCTGTTTTTAAAAAATCCTGCATCTGTTACCAGTGTAAGACTACAATGAATCTTAGTCTCATTGTGGATACAGGAGAAGTCACAAAGTTGTTAAGTTTCTCCACGCTGAGTGAATTTCATTCGAATTTCAAGGGGAGAATTGAGTTAGGAAAATCTTCCTTTTCCATATTCTATTATTTTCCACTAAATTCCATTCAAATGTTAACAAAGCATTCATTTCTCTATCTGATATACCATGAAAATTCCAAATAGCATGCTGTTCTTGATGCATGCACACTCAGTGCCTGGGATCTTAGCAGCTTTCTTAGGCAAAACCCTGAGTATAAGGACTTATGGCTATTTTCTCTTTAACAAATAGCCGTCAAGTTGCTTTTCAAACTTCACTCTATCCCAAAATAGATTGTTATAAAGGAGACTGTTGTGTGAGAAACACAAGCCCAGAGACCCTTATGCTTAACAAATGAGTTGCCTAGTTTGTTGGATTTTAGGAGCATCCACACAAATTTGTGTTTGAGGTAGTAATTAAGAAAAAATTTAGATGGTGAGAAAAGAACCAGCACGGAGATGTCTGAGTGCCCATGATTCTACTATTTAAACTTGCAGAGTAAAGGTTGTTGAAAAAATTATTTGGGAGATATACAGTGGTGCCTCGCTTAGCAATTGCTTCATTTAATGATGTAATCGCTTAACAATTAGTTTTCCGGAGTGATCTTGTGCTCCGTTTAACGATGTTTCCTATGGGCGATTTTCACATAGCGATGTTTGGGACCTTGCTTCGCATAGCGATGACAGTTTGGCTCCCCCCTTTTTGCTTAACGATGATTTTGACAGCCTCGTGTTGGCTGTCTTTTAAATGTTTAAAAATGATTTTAAAAGGGTTAGAATGCTTGAAATCATACGTGCACTTAATAAACCCTTTGCTAAACTAATTTGACTTTGTTCTGACTCTTTTTGAATTTGTTGTAATCCCCCCCCATTGAAATGCATTGCTTAGCGATGTTTCCTATGGCAATTTTCGCTTAAGGACGGCAATCCGTTCCCATTGGAACAGATTATCCGGTTTTCAATGCATCTCTATGGGAAAACGCGTTTCGCTTAGCGATGTTTTCCCATAGCGATGTTTTTTTGGCACCAATTAAAATTGTTAAGCGAGGCACCACTGTATACCTGCACTTTCAATGCATGCATACAGCTCTAGCAGCCTTCTATGCTGCTTAGTGTTATGATGTGAGTACTTTTAAAAATAATGTCTGAAGCAGAGATGTGATTACATTTCTGTTTTGGACACTATTGAATTAAATTATCTGGAGATTCTGGACTACAGCTGCCAGAATCCTGCAGCCAACATGGCTGATGGGAGCATTGTTCTCAAAAAATAAAATAAAATAGAGGTTTCCTCTTCTAGTCCAAAGCCAATGTAAAGGAAAGGAAACACAGATGATATCAAAAACAGAGATCTGGTGAAATTTGCCCAGGCTACTGAGATTTTGCACTTGTATGTTGTATCTCTTCATGATAATATTGAAAAGAAATATATTTGTATTGAAAATTTGGAAGAAGTTAATTTTACTAAGGTGAATGAATTTGCTCTAGAAATACTGACCCGGAAAAGAAGTGGAAAGGAAAGAAAGTCCCCAAGAGTGATTCAGATTCAGAAGTGGAAATATGCAGAACAGAATTTCAGCACTTTCTGGAGCGGTAAATAAATCTACATCACATTTTGTTATCTCTTTAATCATTTAATTACTTATAGATTAAGGCTGTTGAGAGATAAATTAATGTTGTCTCATCTCATAACAGAATAGGATATTTCGGTTTATCTCCTGGTGCTATTGCTTCTTACATATTTTGTCCAGAAACTGTATATGGCATGCTAGGAAATTGAAGGATCTAGTTTTAAACAATGCTTGAAGTTTAGCTACATGTTAAGGCTTCGCTTCAAGCAGCAGCCCTTTGTATTGAAAGTTTCATTCCCAGTCATCAGCATAAGTCCTTCACTGAGGAACTGTTCATACAATATTTACCTTTTCCCTTCTTGCCAGTTTAATTATGTGTTTTATTTATATCCCATCTCTTGGCTGAAGATACCAAATCAGTTCACAAGGCAAAAAGAGAAAAAAAGGATAGAGTGTTCAAATAATAGTACAAAACAGAACAAGTTTCATGTCGCAGTATAGTGAAATACAATAATGGTGTTCCACCATTCTGATCAAGTCTTCAAATTGCTCCCTGTAGATGGGATTAGTTATTCTTGGATCTAAAACTGTTTTCTCTTTAACTTAACAACAGCTCCCCTGAGATGCTTAGATTTATGGCTCTTAAGCCATGAACAGAACAAGCTATCCTTTGAGGTATAGCAGCGCTGGGTTAATTGACATATCCAATGAAGAGTACAGTTGCCCTGTTTGTAATGTACCATTTCCATTCCTTCAAGTATCCAAGCTTTAGTGCGAAGCTTAAAAGGTATATGCATGTTTTCCTTTATTGAAAAGGTGTGCCATTGTGCTGAAGTTGCCCTTTGCTGCAAGAAGACTATTCTCTGAGGTGGGAATGGAAATTTTTCTTTTGAAAGGCTTGGAGAGAGATCAGCTGGTAAGAAAAAAATTAAAGGAAATAAAATTGGAAGCATGTCTAATTCTTCAGAAAGTATGTTTCCTATGAAACAAGCCATCCTGATGAATAGCACCTTATATTGTTCCAAAGCATTGCACGAAGTTACCTATGGGAGTGCATTACATTTCTGTCTATTTTTATATGTTGTACAATAGGCTTCTGTGTATTGGTGTCACAAAATACTTTGCACTCTTGCACGGCATGGAGAATAATTTTGCAGTTACTTGTCTTCCTATGTGAGCACAGGACAAATAAGGACTTGCATCCTTAATATTGTGAGCTACCCTTGTCCCAGCTCTCATCAATCAATCAATCAATCAATCAATCAATCAATCAATCAATCAATCAATCAATCAATCAATCAATCAAACAAACAAACAAACAAACAAACAAACAAAAATAAATAAATAAATAGCAGTTAGCTATTGTAGTATTAACTCCTACAGCAGGGAAGTACACTTTACAAATCATCACGATTGCCTTAGTAGAGCTGGAAGAAAGTTTGAAGTCTAGTTCATCAGAGAATCTTTATAATTTGTACAGGTTAATTTGTGTTTGTAATTTTGCTCAGAGCCAACAACATGAAATAACTTTTACAGTGCTAGCTTTGAAGGGGAATTAAATAGTTAAGCAGGTGACTTAAGCGACCAGAGTGTTCCTTCTGTCAGTAACAGCCATTTCGTTCAAGCTGTGTTGTTGAGGGAGAGAACTACTTGTTGTTTTAGTGAATTATCAATAATGTTAAAAATGTTGCAACCTTCATTTCAATTTTTAGCAAGTCATTGGGCAAAATCCCATTGTGTACATTTACATAGGTGGAAACTGATTACATCATCACCTGGCGTTAAGGTAGATTTACATCAGAATTCTGGCCATTATTTCTTTATCTTACTCTAGAAAGTGCAGGTTAAATTTTGTTCTTTAAGAAAAAAATGATTTCCCAAATTCAATGATTTTAAATTATGTACTGCTTAAAAAAGAGGAATTAATGACTGTTTCCTGTGCATTATCTGGCAAAGTGCTGTGTTACACAGCCATATTCATTTTGTTCTGCCTTAAAAATGTTGAAATATGATCTAACTCAGATAAATGTCTTCTGATTTGTACAGAATTCCATTTTACTTTCTTACATCTTCTTTACCTATTCCTGAAGGGACACCACTGCTGCTTGTAATTTCCAGTTAATCTCTAGGGTATCTGTAGTTTTTCTTTCTCAAAGTTCTTATTGTCCAACAAAAGTACATGCAAAGAACATTCATGAAATGCTTTAATTGATAACTTTGTAATTATAGTGAGGCATTCTGTAAAATATCAGGAGCTAAAGCCAGTTGTTAGTCTCTGCTAAAGATGGGCCCAGACTCACTAGGGTCCCACGTTGTGGCTGGCTTTCCAGCAGACCAGCTTTCCATGCTCCCCCACAGCTCTGTAATGGTGGCTGGCTCATGGCAGGCTGTGAAGGAGCCTGGGAGAATGACAGCAGGGTTAAGGGTCGCGCTGGCAGCCAGCGATTGTCTGGCACAACTGAGAGCAGGGCTGGCAGCAAAAACCCCTGCAGATAAAAGGAGGATGTTCCCAGGCTAGAGTTTGTGGAAGCTTTGGTTCACCCACTCCATGCTTGGTACAGTTAAGAATCGTTAAGCATAGCTTATATTAGACAGGAGGTTTGTTATTGCAACAATTTGTATCCATCTCACAGCTTTGCTGGTGGTTTCGGAGTATTGGGGGGTGGATCCAGGGGATGATAGAGGGCGGGCAGAGTGCTGCCCACCGCTAGTGCTGAACCCCCTCCCTTTGGGGGGGGTTAGGGGAAAGTACCAGGGCTGGCCCAGCTCAAGGATCCAGGGCTTTGGCCTTCCCCGTGGGTGACAGGGAGCCACGGAGTGCCATATGCCCGTGTGGTCTCTAAGGAACTGTCACCCGATGTCATTTCCCAGAGGGGTCTGGGAAGTGGAGGCTACATCAGTGCCACGCTCGGGCCTCCCGATGGAAACAGATCTGACCTCAATGCTTAGCCAGCGGAACGGAGGCTGGAATTCAATTAATAAAGTTGTGGCCTTTTACGTACAGTTTCAAGTGTGCAGTGTGTTTATTGCCTGGGGGAGGTACCAGGCCAGTTAGGCATATGCCCATAAAGTAGACTTGCTGAATCAATGAGACTTGCTAAGTTAACACATATAAAAGTGTGATTTCATGGTCAAATATCGGAGAATTTGCTCGACTTATAAAACAGGTGAACTTAAAGTAATTTTTACTGACCCACATGATGCAAAAGTAAATTTGAATCAGTCCAGTCCTTTTTTTCCTTTGCCACTGGGGGGCTTCTTTTTTAAGCCAGAGTGCTTCAAACAGAAATTTCTCAATGTGACTAGTTGTGATGCATTTTTGTAAAGCCAGGGAGCCTATTTGTAGGTGGTGGTTTGTTGACATATGTTGAGATTTACACACAGCGGTATTATGTTGTTTGAGATTCTTCAGTAATCTCCAAATTGAGAGCAAAAATGAAGACTCTGGACACAGATGTTCCCTTCACCAAGAGTGTACAGTATTTACAAATATACATACATAGCACCTCAGAACTGGCAAGATCCATGATACCAACTGACAAAGTAATGTGCTGCTCCTCCATGCATCAACCCAACACTAAGCTTAGTCAGCACCTTGATTATATATAGTGTTGTTGTTGTTGTTGTTGTTGTTGTTCAGTCGTTAAGTCATGTCCGACTCTTCGTGACCCCATAGACTAGAACACGCCAGGCCCTCCTGTCTTCCACTGCCTCCTGGAGTTTGGTCAAATTCATGTTGGTAGCTTCGATGACACTGTCCAACCATCTCGTCCTCTATTGTCCCCTTCTCCTCTTGCCTTCACACTTTCCCAACATCAGTGTCTTTACCAGGGAGTCTTCTTTTCTCATGAGATGGCCAAAGTATTGGAGCCTCAGCTTCTGGATCTGTCCTTCCAGTGAGCACTCAGGATTGATTTCCTGCAAAATGGATAGGTTTGTTTTCCTTGCAGTCCAGGGGACTCTCAAGAGTCTCCTCCAGCACCACCATTCAAAAGCATCAATTCTTTGACGGTCAGTCTTCTTTATGGTCCAGCTCTCACTTCCATACATCGTTACTGGAAAAGCCGTATCTTTGACTATGTGGACCGTTGTCAGCAAGCTGATGTCTCTGCTTTTTAAGATACTGTTGAGGTTTGTCATCACTTTCCTCCCAAGAATCAGGCATTTTTTAATTTTGTGGCTGCTTTCACCATCTGCAGTGACCATGGAGCCCAAGAAAGCAAAATATGTCACTGCCTCCATATCTTCCGCTTCTATTTGCCAGGAGGGGATGGGACCAGTGGCCATAGTCTTAGTTTTTTTTTAAATGTTGAGCTTCAGACCATTTTTTGCCCTCATCTCTTTCTCTCTCATTAAGAGGTTCTTTAATTCCTCCTCACTTTCTGCCATCAGAGTGGTATCATCTGCATATCTCAGGTTGTTGATATTTCTTCCGGCAATCTTAATTCCAGTTTGGGATTCCTCCAGTCCTGCCTTTCGCATGATGTATTCTGCTTATAAGTTAAATAAGCAGGGAGACAATATACAGCCTTGTCATACTCCTTTCCCAATTTTGAACCAATCAGTTGTTCCATATCCGGTTCTAACTGTTGCCTCCTGTCCCACATATAGATTTCTCAGGAGATAGATAACATGGTCAGGCACTCCCATTTCTTTAAGGACTTGCCATATTTTGCTGTGGTCCACACAGTCAACGGCTTTCGCGTAGTCAATGAAGCAGAAGTAGATGTATTTCTGGAAGTCTCTGGCTTTCTCCATAATCCAGTGCATGTTAGCAATTTGGTCTCTTGAATTTGACCCAACTCCGGGAGGCAGCAGAAGACAGGAGGGCCTGGTGTGCTCTGGTCCGTGGGGTCACAAAGAGTCAGACATGACTAAACAACAACAACAATGGCTTTAATGTTCAAATTGTATTTGCAAGTAGAATTGAGTGCATGAATTGGAAAGAAGAGGATGCATGATTTCAGAAATAATTTAAAGTCAAATAATGTTTCTGACATACTGTAAATGTGAAATAAATAACTCCAACCTTTTTGTAACAGGTATATGTTTCATGTGGAGAGCAATGGATTGATCCTCAGTGGACTGTGGCTCAGAATAAAAAACGTCTCCAACTTTGTAATTTAGCCTCAGATATAGCTGCTATTCGTGCCTATTGTGCCATGAGGAACACCAAAAGTGAGCAGATTAACTTCTGTGCTGTTTTTGTAAAATGTGTCTTTAATATGTTTAAATTAGACCAATTTATGTAAGACACCTCCAAGAGCAGAGATTTCAAATAGTGTTCTAGTGGCCTCACTTGGTATGATTTACACAATTAAAGATCAATGCATTTAAGTACTACTAATCTCAGTGGGTGAGTCAAGCTTAAGTTTGATGCCAGTGGCACTTAAAACTTTAGAGAGTGCCCACTGTGTTTATTTTTTTTTTATTGGTTTGCTATCTTCCTACCAGTTAAAGAGACCCAAGGTGGTTCACACATTATTTAAAAAAGTAAATTGTCTAAAGTTGCAATATATTATAACATTAACAAAATGAAAAATAAAACAGTATTAAAACAATTGCTGAAAGCTGTTACTCCCACCCAAAAATGCATTAAAAGCATACAAAAAATAATAATGGTGTCCAGCACATGTGATTAAAATTTGCCTAAAAAGTTGTTAAAAGCCTGTCTCAAAAATATTGTCTTCACCTATCACCAGAAGGACAATCTTTTGTACTGTTTTTTATAATGTTGTAGAACTTGTAAACTGCCCAGAGTGGCCTTGATAGCCACATGGGCGGTATAGAAATCAAATAAATAAAATAAAGAAGGAGGGGGGCTTAGTTCTCAAAAGCATTGTTGCCAAAACAATAGATGTTTGCAGCTGAATTTGGAACTATTTTTCCATTTACTTCAGTTGTGTATGAAAATACATAACTTCTAGATTCAGTTTTTTTAACCACTACACCTAAAGGATACAGATGTCTTTCTTATGGCAGAGAAGGAAATTCTCCTATGCTTGAGAACTGAAGGGAGAGTTGAAATGCAGAGTGGATTAACTTTGTCCTGTTACAGTGGACCCTTGACTTACAAATGGCTCGACTTACAGACTTTTCGAGTTACAGACTTCTCTGGCCGCAAAATTTAGGTTCAACTTGCAGCCGGAGAATCGACTTACAGACCAGAAAAAACCCAAAATGGAACAAAAACGGCCAGTTATGGGATTAATCAGTGTTCAATGCATTGTAGGTCAATGGAGACTCGACCTACAGACTTTTCGACCTGCAGCCACCGTTCCAATACAGATTAATTCCATAAATAGAGGGTCCACAGTATGTCAGAAACTAGATAAAGTGGTTAATTTCAATTAATCCTTGCATTAGTCTGGCAAAAAAAAATTATACAGAATTAACAAAAAGATATGTCTGTGTGTCTTATAGAGCAGTGGTCCTCAACTTTGGGCCTCCAGATGTTCTTAGACTTCAACTCCCAGAAATCCTGGCCAGCTGAGGTGGTGGTAAGTCTTCTGGGAGTTGTAGTCCAAGAACATCTGGAGGCCCAAGGTTGGGGACCACTAATATAGAGGATAAGACACCATTTTTAGCAATTGTTCCTTGCTGCATAGACTGTGCTGGAAAGATATCTGTAGGAGTATCTAAAATCACAAAGAATAATTTTGATGTAGTATATTGATGATGTTGGCTGGCAGTTCCATTTCCGAGTGTGCCTTCTGGGAGAAGAGCCATCCCATGTAGCCATGGGCAAGCTGCACAGTCCCAGAGCATCCCCAGAAGAAGGGTATGGGAAACTGCTTCTGGTAAGAGTCATCATGTTGGAATTAACTTGATGGCACACAATTGTTTTTATTTATATTGATTATTAGTAAACAGTATCATCTGCAGGTGCCTCGTGGATTCTTTAATTCTTGCATCAATGTTTTCAGATCTTGTTTTGGAAGTAAAGAAAGACATTGCTGTTGGAGCCAAACTTTCTGTTGAAAGAGCTATGGTGAAACTTGAAGGAAAAAATGCTTTTCAGGAAGAAGGAAAAAAAGCTGAAGAAAGCATTGAGAAAGTAGAAGATGCCACAGATAAGTATCTGTAAGTAATCTAAAATGATGATCAGAAGAGAAGAGCATTGACTATGGTTATTGACAAAATGATTAATTAATTATATTGCTGAAGAAAATTCAGAATAACCAGAAGTGACAGGTTGTGGGGTCTGTTCAAATCTGATGCACAAAATAAATTTGTCACCCAGGATTCTTTAGGTCTTAAAACAAAGTTTATGGAACTACTAGCCAAACTTTCTTCAACTTATTCACATGAAGAGGGATAAAATGGCATTAAAACCGCCTTTATTCCCTTCATATAATGAAGTTGGAATGGAACAAAGGAACATTCCATGTGGTCTCATGGAATGAAAATTAAAACCAGTGGGCAAGATCTGAATAGGAATTAATGTGGTCAAAAAACACTTTTGCACAGAGTGGTCTGAATTTCTGCCATCTCCCACCTGTACTGGTGGCCTTCTGTGCCACTTATGCCATTCCTAATGGTTCCTCAGTCTTCAGAATTGGCTTTTTGAGGAGTACAGGGGCTGTGGCAAAGAGGCTGTAACCTCATTCCATGAGTAGAACTGTCCTTGCACTGTATATCTTAGAATCTAGGTCAATTAAGACATAGCATCCATACATACAAGGTGTGTGGCTCAGATTGATGTGTAATGCAATATCCCCATACATCCATATTAATTAACTCCAAGCTCTCATACCTGTAGTTAGTTTTCCTTCAATGTAATCCACATTCTTCAGAATTGTATTTCCACATCATAACATGCCACCTTCTTTCCTCTCCCTACCTCTCCCCACTCCTTCTTTCCCGTGCTTTCCCCAATCTCTCCTGTTTGCACCCCTTGATCCTGATTGATCACAGTTCAGTATTTGTCATCATCATCTCTAAATTTGGTAATGGAAGCTTCCATTTTGTAAAGCAGGGGATATTAAGTTGCTCCTAACATGAAGAAAGGTTTGCAGATTTTGAAGGAGAACTTAAAGCCGTTACCTCTTTTTTTTTCTTGCTGATTAAAACAGTGTGTTAATTGATCTTACCCAGCATGAAGCAGAGGGTAATGAGTGGTGCTGAAAAGAGCACCTCACCTCCATTAAGAAAGGCACCAAGAGGCAGCCCTGCTCCATATTGAGAACACTCCCACACATGCCATGACAGCTAATGTCAAGGGAGTTCTAATGATACATGCTCTCAGATGACCTGGGCTTGTTAAAGACAGTGGAACAGAGGAGTAACAGATCTGGAAGGACCCAGGCTGTGTGTGTGGGAGGTTCCAAAGCAAGGGAATATAACCTTGAAATGGAAAGGAGGTGCAAAGATTTGATTCCATACTGCAGTAACATCTTGTACGATTGTTAAACTACAGTAATCTGAATCATTGGGCTACTGGTCTCCTTCTTAAATAGGAACAAATAGAATATATGAGTGAGCTTTTAAAAGCGCTTAAATTCAACTGGACAGTGCTGAAACTTCACCACATAATTACTCAGGATCAGCCCAGATGTTAAATAAAATTTGTATTTCCACCAGCAACTGCACTCCCTCTCCCTCTCCTATAATGGGATTTCCCCAGAGATATGTGCCTCAACAATCAGATTTGCAGATTAAGCCCATATATACCCTCCAATGACCAGTCACAAAACTAAGCGTCCTAAATGCAAGATACATGCATGAGGGAAAACAAGTGTTGTGACATGTCTTCCACTACTTGAGGCAATATCTCTTATGAAAGAATATCTGCTATAGTGTCTAGTTTGACCTGCATTCTTGTGACTAACATACTCGAACACGTTGCTCATAGCCAGCGCCACCACAATCCACTGAAACAGCAGAGAGCCCTGCAACATCTTCAGGACTGATGAAGTCATCCTTGTCCCAGGTTCGCTGTGAGGGGCCCAGTCAGCTAAAAGAAGAGACGTTCATCTTGGCAGCCCCAAGTACAGCCCTCAAAATTTCCATGGGCATAAATCTACTGCCAGAGATAGGCTCTGAAGCAGTCCACCACTTTACTCCTCCTCTTCCTCTGTGGATTGTTCTATAACACATTAGTTGTGCTTTGCTTTCGAAGCCACCATACAGAATCATAGAATAGTAGAGCTAAAGTGGTCTCAAGGGACAATAAGCCCAACTCCTGCTAAAGCAGTCAATCTGAAGGTAAAACAGTCACAATAAATGGCCATCTAACATCTGCGTAAAAACCTTCCATGAAGGACAATCCACCACCTTCTAAGGTGGTCCATTCCATTGCTGTGCAGCTCTAAATGTCACAAAACTCCTTGCTCACAATCTAAATCCAGTGACTCAGGTCTAGAGCTGCAGAAAACAAGCTACCATGTTCCATGATAGCTCTTGAAATATTTTAAGGTGTTTTCTAATAGCATCTTTCCATTTTGCTTCTCGGGGCTAAACATATGCAGATCCCCCAGCCATTCCTCATAGGGTTTGGTTTTCAGACATTTTGACATCTTACTCACCCTCCTCTGGACACATTTTGATTTATCAGTAGCCTTCTTAACCTGTGGTGCTCAAATCAGGACTTATCAAAATAAAATAGTATGGTAGTGTTACTTCCTTTTATTTAATAATAATCTTTGAACTACAGAGCCGGAAGGAACCTTTTGGATCACTGAGTCCAGCCTCTGTCAAGGAGGCACAGTGGGGCATCGAACTCCCAACTTCTGGCTCTCCTCCTGATGTCCCGCCTTCCACTCCCCATAGGATGGAACTTTCCCTCCAAACCCATGACAGACAGGTAACTTTGAACTACAGAGGTAACAGGAACCTTTTGGATCACTGAGTCCAGCCTCTGTCAAGGAGGCACAGTGGGGCATCGAACTCCCAACTTCTGGCTCCACAGCCAGATGCCTAAACTCCAGGAAACTATATTTCTGTGGATGCATCCTGGGATTACATTAGGTTTTTCTGCCACTGCATAAAATATCCTTTCTCAAAATGAGATATTGATCCTTATTCAGCACTGAAACGGCTTTCATTGCAACACAGCTACTAGGACTATGTTTTGCCCCTATTACCTCATCACTGTGTAACTGCAGGAAAGACCAAAAAAACCTGGAATCCTGTTTGTTTAGGCATAGCACAACACTTGCATAAATTTGCTGGGCATTACATCTAGGCAGCAAGGGTTGGACAATTTGATTGAGTTATTGTTTGGTTTTATTTTCGAGGAAGGGAGATAAGTGAGCAGATCAAGAGCACAAGAGTGGTAATTGGCTCTTGCAAAACTGATTTTGGGGGAATTTAGCAGGTGAGGCAGGAAGGGGCAGGAAAGGAAGGAGCATGTTCTCTGTGAGTGTGTGCATGCACACACACACGCTGTTGCCCACCCTTCTCTCTGCATCTGCCAGGGGACTGAGATGGGAGACTGAGAGGAGCAGCTGGCTATGCACCTTTTAGAAACCTCCCTCTTGGGAATACTGTCCAAAGAATGGCAAGTAGGTGGGGAAGAAAATACCAGGTCTTAAAAATACTTCATTCTCCTTCACTGTCCCCACCCCAGTTTCTAATTAGATACAATAAGGAAAGGAACAAGACGGGAAAAGTCAGTCCTGCAGGAGAGGAAATGTAGCTGTTTGGCTTGCTGTAGCTGAGAAAGCTTGCCTGCCCATTGCATAATGCACATGTGAAAGTAGTTTGTGGAACATTCTGCATAATGCCTAGTTCTGCCCATGTAGGTACACAACAGGATTTCAACCATTGTATGATGGGGCTCTTGCTGCCAATGACTAATCCAAGAACAATATTGTTTCACTGGAGAAGTGAGCTGCAACTGAGAATGGTAATATAACTGCTGTTATAAAAGCAGGTTGTATATGCTCACTGAGGCAATAGGTGGCACTGTTGTTTTCTGAAATGTTGAAATGCTCGTGGTTCTAGAATTCATCATTTAAGAATTGTAGACTGGCTGTTATTACTATCCAGTAGCATGATTTGTTTAGAGAATGGCAATAAGACTCTTTTTAAATGACACATGAATGATAAAATATTCATGTTAGAAAGAGATAATAGTATATACAGTGTATATATTAATATTGTTAGGTAAGAGATTTTAGCATGTAGAAAACACAGGAAACCTTTTAGAGAATACAATTTCAGATACCGTGATTGTGCTGCCTCTATTTAAGAAGTCATATTTTTCTCATTCACTCTCATCTACTGGATGCAATAGGACCTTCAAATAAGGTCCATTTTCACAACCTAGATTTTTTTTTTCAGGCACAAGAGTCTTTTGTCCTTGCAGTCAAAACACATCTTGGATTTTAAAGGTCAACAAAAAAATGCCTGATAAATGCAATTCAAAATTTTATTACATAATCTAAAAGTTCACGGAATACAATTTGCTTTCATGTAGTTTTGAAAATGACATCTCCCGAGATGGTGGCCTTCATTCACAAAACACTTCTGTAGTTGATTTTCGAAGTTTTGCATTGCCCGGCAGGATCATTTGCAGCAGTATTGCTGCAATTTCTTGGTCTATATCAGCCTTCAGTTCATCAGTAGTTCTTGGTCAATGTTTGTAGACCTCAGCTTTCAGATAGGCACAGAGGACCTGTGCCGCAGAAATTTTCAGCCTATAGCAATATGGTTTTTCGGTCCAGAACAGGAGTGCGGGATTTTCATATTGAGAGGAAAGGAGAGAAAGAGAAGAAAAAGCAGGAGAATGTCAACAAGCTGTTGAAAGACTTTCCCAATCTAAAAGTAGGTGGTTTGTTGCCTGATCCAATACCGGGACAAGAAGGGATCACGATCAAAGAGACCACAGAATGGATGATGGTAGTATACCCGAGGGGACGAGGTCCCTGGAAGAAGGTGGTGCAACCAGACTCCACTTACAACAAGCCACTCCCGGAAGGGGATTGGGCACACCACCCATGCTGCGGCACTATAAGTGCAGTCAGGAGCACCCCATTGAGAAGACCCAGCAACAGAGAGAGGTTTGGGCCGGCACCCCAATATTGAAACGGGACTTTGTTTATGGCAATAGTGATGGAACTAACAGGCAGTTGATTGGT